TGTAACCAGGTGTATAGCCCTGTACCCTTTTCTATCCTTCTTTTCCGTGTTTTTCCTCACAAAACATATAAGTTCACATCTGGAGACAGGCAAGTGCTCGTGTAACACATGCAGGCGACATAACAAGTGATCGTGGGAAATAACCAGAGAACTGGGTACGATAAATAATGTAATATTACTCTGTATTCGTGGAGGTTATGCGGTGACTAAAGGTGTGCTCACCACACGCACAATTCTAGGGTCGAATCATGTATAGAAACCTTACCTTCCCAACCAAGCCTATCACCCCTACAGGGTGTGACGGAACCAGACTTGTATTTGGCATAAAACCCCTGACTTGAACACCGATTGCCTCCTGCAGTTCTTTCTACGGCCCAAATCGCATTTAATTGCCACCACGATTCTGAAGGGATATCCGCAATTGGCCTTGAATTTCATGAAGATTACAGAAGCACACCTTTTCGCCCTCATCCGACCTCATAAATCTTCCCCAAATTGATCGCAATTGATGCACATACAATTTGAATGGGTGATAAGAAGTGCATTAGTGACCTTGGTGGTGGCAGATTAGAAGTACATTACACCTTCCCTATCATTCCGACGTGAGCTAATAATATCAGAAGTTACTATTCAAATCAAACGTTCCACTGTAACCCTCAAAAAGTCATATTTCAATATGTCATATGCCATCACCCTCCAAAGTCCCTCAATGAGCGCGAAAACTCGCGCGCTATTTGCTTTCACCGGGTGACCGACGACCGGTTGGAGCTGGCGACGAACGCAAAAGATAAAGCAGGCTATTATTTGTCGATGGACCCCGGTGAGAAGCGGGTTGTCAGTCTTAACGCTATCATAAAGCAAATACTAAATGACCGCCGCCACCACCTAGGGTGGTAATCGGAGCCACTTATTGGGCGATTCCCACCAAGCAACTTCAGGCAACGATTACTAAACAACGCCCGACCTGCTTGGTTCCATCGGTTAATATTTCTGTATAAAACCATTAAGACAAAGCTGTGGCGAATTTTGCTCACATTCTCATAACAATGGCATCAAGAAGATCTATCTATCGACAAAAAAAATGAGGAAAAATAATGAAAAATAATTTATAAAAACAGAAAAAATGAAAAGACAAGAAAATTTTACCCGGCAACGTAGGCTATCCGACCAGTTCGCTCATTAACCACTAATGAATTTGGTCCAACAGCAGTACGACCAAATGCAGCTTCTAGCTTGACCTGAAAGAACTCTCAATAAAAAAATTGAAAAAGGAAAAAATCAAAAGGAGAAAATGGAAGCATTCTATTAGCGGAGCTAGTTGTTCATGACCAGCAACAGTCAACTACAACGTTCTGCTGAAATAGTTTGCTTATAAGCTCAGCAAATGTGAGACTTTTTCCAGCTTTTAGTCAGACTCTTGTGATATTCACAAATTCCCAGTTGGGAATTCTGTTAGGTAAGGACGTCAGCAGTTGCCGTGAAGTGCTTCGCACCGATCATCGGACCTGGACTGTCAAGAAGACAGCTCCAGGTCCAACGATGAGTGAGAAGCAACCTCACGACAAATGCTGACGTCCTAACCTAGCAGGATTCCACCACCATTTTGGAATTTGTGAATGAGTGCGGCACTGCCAGTGCCTTCGGTACTGCTCCAGATCTTCGTCTTCACATCAGAAACTTCGATTCCCAGGAATTAAAATAGCTACATAAGACAACTAATGTCAAAAGTATACCCTTTTTTTTACAATTTTTACCTTCTTCTGTAGCTTCCACAGAGTTTCCTACCCGCTGTGATAGGCAACCTATATTCTCAGATGCGTCTATGTTTGTTCACTTGTGCCCCACTTCGAACCCGCTACTCATTACATCTAAATACCATCTCGTTGCTAGCGCACGCGACGCTTTTCCATCAGAGGAGCTTGGAGTCGTAGGGAAATTTTTGATTGAGATCGAGGTAGTGTGTAGCTTACGCAATGCGGTAATAATGAGCATGAGTGGACTAGAGGTTACTGCTCGCAGATTGAGAAGGAGGGGGGATACATGCAGGTAAGGCGAATTTTGATAAGGGTCTGTAAAAGGAACGCTATGAGCTCATCCCGCAGGACTCAAATAAGTAGAGGGTCAAAGGAGCGGAAATTATCTAGGGAGAGAAAGAATTTGAAGACGATTGTGTTTGTGTGATATACTCGAGATCCGTAAGTTGGGGTAGGCGTGTCACCGGAAGTGACGTGTACTTGATAGAATCTATGTGGATAAGGTGCTTCCAATATATATCGCGAGATATCAGCAAAGCATGCTGGCAGCGACTTACCTACGCAACCTCTATCAAGTCCACGTCACTTCCGGTGACACGCCTACCCCAACTTACGGATCTCGACTGTAAGTAATGTGTGTGTAATAAGTAATGCGATGTCTTGACTGGATCCAAACAAAATTTGCAGTTTTTCACTCAAAACGAAACAAATAATGCTCCTTAGCTTCTGAAGACATCAATTTTCTGAAGAAATAATTCTCAAATCTCCAAAAAAAAAAGTTACAGTCGATATCCGAAAGTTGGGGTAGGTGTGTCACCGGAAGTGACGTGCACTTGATAGAAGTTGCGTGGATAAGCTGTTGCCAGCATGCTTTGCTGATATCCAGCGATGTATGTTGGAAGCAGCTTATCCACATATTCTATCAAGTGCGGTGCTTCCGGTGACACGCCTACCCCAACTCTCGGATATGGACTGCTTTCTTTAGAATTTTCCGCCTAAAAACTAATGAACTAAAAAAATAATACGAGAGGATCAAGAGGAGATTAAACCGTCTATCCAATTTAGGTCATCAAATCGTCCGAAAACCATCAAAAATAATAAACGAATGCCCAGTGCAAAACTTCACTACATACAGTAATGACAGATCCATAAAGATAGATCTCCCCGTAAATAGTTCCATCCAAAGACAGTTCCTTCACATAAACTAAATTGCAACTTCCAGCGAAGTACCACTCTCTAGACTTGAATTTCTTGGTTCACAAAATGCATCATTTTCAATAAGGTGGTTCACCGTGGGATTCCCTACATCATTCCGGTCCACGAAGCAGACAGTTGCCTGGGCAAAGACCTCGTCCCATTTGCATAAATAGCCAATGCGCCGATCGTATTTGATTTCTGATCAAGGGCGTAAGATAACTTGGCACAGCTCTCCACAGAAGCATTTTCTTGATCGGATCACAAGGCCGAGCAAGCCACACCTATGGAAAATCATGACAGCACCACAACAGCTTCTGCAACCGCACACAACACTACGATCATTGTTCGATACCAAATGCTACTTTCACCAAAGGAGATCCACGACAACCTCCAAGACCCTCAGGAGAGCATGCCACCAAGCCCCAAGTTCTGCGGGCCCGAAAGATCTTTCACCTGTCAACCCGCTTAACCATTAATTCGATGCGAATTCAAGACAAAGTGACCCTCATCTCTTATCTTCCACCCTATTCGCATAGTAAGAATCGCGCATTTCATCCCATTATCTGCGAAAACCATCTACGGCCAGTCAACAGCCACAAATCGACTGAACTTCTTCTAGGGCGATTAGGAACGGGTTCTCAAATGGTGGACAGCGGCAGTCGTGTAAAATTATACAATATCCCTAATTCAGCTGCTAGTCCCAAATCAATGGTGAGTCATAAATGGACAAAAAAGCTCGTTGCTTCCGTTATTATTCCTTCCCACGGTCGATTAAACTTCTAAGCAAAATTCCAACACCCATACTACTCCCAAGATTCCAAGGCAAGCAATTCAGTTTACAACTGATCCCCAGCTGTGTAGTCGCGCTGTTGACAATCCTGATTATGCCGCACGCGATCGATTCAAGTCTTCGCCAAGAAAACTAGCCTCCATCTGAGAGGAAGGCGACTTACAAACTTGAATTTAATCCCATGTGAGTCGCCTCAGCGAAGACTAGTGTTCCCGGATATACCTATCGAAAGCCCACAAACTAAACGAAAGCAATCTATGTCTTTCTTGAACCGAACGCAGGTTTTGCAAATGCGCGGAAGGATAAATAAGGTGAGGAAGGAAAGTGAGATGCCTGATCAGGCTAACTATAACAAAATTATAGAAAGGCTCGCAGACAGTGGGTACGTTCGATTCTTCACATACTGTCTCTCGACCCAGGTAAAGCATAGTTACAAATCAGCAATACACACATGGTACCGAACAACCAAAGGCATCAGAAAGCATAGGTAATATTGATTTTTTTCAGAGCCGCCGCCATTTCAGCAATTCTATGACCGCGACAAGAATTGATATCGCTTAAACTTTCTGATGCTACTGTGGGTATCCCATGTCGTGTCTTTGTTGCTAACTCTGCATTCGACTCATGAATAACGACTAATCTTCTATCAAGATTGTTGAAGCGCTCCGACGTTCATGCTGAATCCGTTCCATGAAGCGTGGCACCTGCACGTTCCTGCCCCACAAAACCAGGCTATAGTATCACAGATACCCCTGTGTGCCCTTCCAGGGCCCACAGAGGGCACAATATTCCGTTCGACTTTCGCTCTGCCGAGCCCTCTTACCTCGAATACAACGGAATCATAAGTGAACTCCAAGACAGGAATTCAAAGCCAACGCCAACTCACCGTTGTGCAGAACCCCAAAACAACAAACACCAGACCACATCATTCGTTTTAAATATACTATTGTTAATATATTATACAATATTCGAAATTTTTGTATTTCGTTTTTGTTCAATTCAATCACTCGGGTGTGTTTTTGAAGGGTTGATATAATGGTATAGAAATTGGTTGGTATCTGCAGAGCGCAGATAGAAGGGGAACAGACATGTGAACGCTTTGCGCGAGTCCGATCGACAGAAGAATTCGTGGCGTATCTCAACGCACCTATTCGATATTTAGAAATGAATGATTTTTTTCCTTTCCTTGGAACCCTTCATGCAACGATATCCTGCGGAATGGGGAGCACAAATGAAACGAGAGGGAAAGAAAAAGCAAGCTAGAAGTGCCAATGAGCTGAAGGCTACGTCACCTAGGTCATTTAGCTAAGAATAAAAAAAGAACTCCTTCTAAATTTCCATTATTCCCTTCCCCTTCCGACATCCGATAGACATTGAAGGGCAATATCGATCGATAACGATCAAGCACTTTGGAATGCGCCACGAATTCGCTCCCGATCGGACTCGTAAAAAGCATTACATGTACAGCAGCACAATTGCCTTCTGTTTGCAACTTTTAGGCAAACAACGAATGTCTGTGCCATGACATCATTCTTTCACATACTATCATGTAATTGAATTCGATAAATCAAAAACAGATCGAAGCAAATTTGATGTAGGGCTTTTATTTTAGAATGGGGGGAATGATTTTCAGAGTTCTTTCGCCTTCAGCCTGCCACCTCGGTCTCATTACTGTACTAAGCCCATAGGCCCATTTTGCGACATAACTTGTGTCTAACCGCGAAACACTCATCAGCACAG